AGTTGTAGGAAAGGATGTACACACATAACTTTATGGTCACTACGACAAGAGAGCAGGAACAGCTTTCATAAAAGATGTAAGATATTATGTGGGGTAAGATACTGGGGAGGCAATATCACAATATCTTTGACACTGGTTATGTTTCTGATACGTTTACTCATCATCCCAACAGCCCATAGAGGTATTCCCCATTTCAGATGTAAAAACTCAGACTATGTCAAGTGACTTTCCAGAGTCACATGGGCATTGCAGTAAGTAGTAGAGCTAGGATTTTAACTTGAGGCGCTGGATGCGTGGATATAAACTTTTAATCACTTTGGGACAGTGCCCAGGGTTCAGATGCCCGGCTCCTGAGGTCTAGCCTACCCTGGTTTGAAGCCTGGTTCTGCCACTTACCGGTCATGGGGAAAACTTACTTTATCTTTCTTCATGTTCACATCTGTAAAATAGTACTTACTGGGGTTTGAATGGCCAACTACAACTGGGTGGCCAACTAAGAAGATACTTACTGTGGTGGGCTCACTACCCTTCAGGGACTGTTTCCCTGACCGCATCCCAGGGCTGATCAAAAACAGGGAGACTCTCTCATAAGCACAGACTCTACTGTGTCCAGTCACCATGCGGGGAATAGATTAAATATTGCTGGGCTACTGCTGGCTTTGAAGATGAAGGGACAGAAAACCAAGGAGTGCAGGCAGCCCCAAGAACCAGGAAAAGGAAAGGAAATAGAATTCCTCTAGAAATCTAGAAAGTAAGGCGGACCTGCTGACACGTTTTTAGCCCGATGAGATCCATTTTGGACTTGTGAGCCCCAGAACTGAAGGATAATTATTTGTGTTGTTTTAAGCCACGAAGCGGAAGTCATTTGTTATAGCAGCAATAGGAAACTAATACAAATGCCAGGATCATTCCCATCTTAGAGCATTTTCACGGTTGCTCACCAGTTGTTCCTTCTGCCTAAAGTGCTCATCTCCAAAGACATTAGCATCATGGACATTTCAAAACCCCCACCAGGGGTTTCAGTGGGGTCTTTGTTTAAATTGAACCCCTTTAGAAAGACTTTCCACTCACAGTAGCCTCTTTGTTACTTTATCACGTGGCCCGTTTTATTTTTATAGCACTCATCACTACTTGTTACTTTTCTTTTTATGCTGTTATGGTATTACCTAAGGAAAGCTGATCTTGTCTCTCACTGTTCCTTGTAACTCCAGTATTCTAGAAGAATGCCCACCATGAAGTAGGAGCTCAATATGTATTTGTTGAATAAATGAGCATTTGTTCCAGGCAAGGCAATGCACATACACTGCCCCAAAGACTCTTTTCAACAGCCTCATGAGATAGAATTCCCACCACCATTTTGTTAAACATAAAGCCCATGAGAGCAATCATAAGGTGTACTGTGTTCTTGGCACATAGTAAACATTCATAAATATTATAAGTATTGAGTCACAGAGAGACTGAATAGCCAATGGAACACAGTTTAAAAGAAAATATTTGCTACATTGATGCCTATAGTTTTCCTAATATGTTGTTGAAGAG